ATCAAAGCTTGAGCATCCAATCAAGCTTTAAAAATTCATTTAGGATGTTATGCAAAAGATTGGCCTCTCACCTCGTTGAGACATTTCGATCCCGAACTCTTCACGATCATCGGCATTGATCCACCCGGGTATGGGATTAATTGATACGGAAATTTTTAGCACTTAGGCTATAGTTAGTAAACAAACGAGTTTGTGAGCACAGCTTATCACTACTGCTTTTAGTTATGGCAAATCTCGTCCACCAGATCGAAAACAAGAGGTTCTCCGGTGCAATAAAGATGCCGTTATTTGTGTGAAGCTGATGGAGGTACGGAAAAAAAAAGAATAAAATCGGGAACCAAGTCTTTTTAGAGATTAGAATTGACTCCATTCACGATCGTTGGCTGGAGTGAAGGGTCGAGGACGAGTATTCACGTTGCGGAGACGGCCAAAGGGAAGGTGAGAAGTTTGAAAGGAATCTAAAAGGACTAAGAAATTCAATCAATCTTATTAGCTTTGATTTTAGAGAGAAATTTTTTTGATATTGCAGATTGAACGAGCCGTCCTTTTGGCCACCGTGACGAGAGTCGATGCAAGGGGTGTTCAAGTGTACAAAGGTAGGTATACATATACCATAAATACTCTAATAGAACTTCACCTCCTCGTACAGTCGCGTAATCTATTAAAGTACTCTATTAAAGTACTCTATTAGTACTCTATTAGAGTATTTATGGTACTTAGAATTGGGCTACAAGGTTTAAATGTGTGTAGAAATAAAATTTAGTATCTGAACCCCACTTTAGATAAGTTGGTGAAGAGTTATGGCCAAAAGTACGTTGTACACCTGTAGACAATTGTCTCGAAAGCCTAAAAAATGTAATATTAAGTTATACATCGAAATTAGAGGGTGGCTACTTTGTGCCAAATTTTTTACGCAACTCTCCATAACTTTCTTCTAAACGAGCCAATCTTTATGATTTTAATGTCATTTTGTAGATCTCAATAAGTGCAACAAAATGACACTAAATTCATAAAGATTGACTCATTTAGAAGAAAGTTATGGCAAATTGCGCAAAGCAGTCATCCCCACAAAATTGCCTTCAGGTCTACGAAACACGGATCAATGGCTACCCGCCGAACGGGCTCCCTATTTGAAGCATTACACGAATGAGTTCCTCAAAAAGCAATGGGCCGACAATTGTGATATGGTTGAAGAGTGAGGGAATTAGAAATTAGAATATCAGAACTAGACAAAACAACAATAGCTCAGTCTCTCAGAAAGCAGAATAAAGAGTGTTTGTAGCGAATAAATCCTGACTACCGCTTGAAGTAAGCGGTAGTCAGGATCTATGGACAAGTTCAAATGTGCTGTTGAAGTAACGGCACATTTGAACTTGTCCATAGATTTTTTTTGATATACTACAAACATAATCTTTATTAAAAGTGAATTCTTTCGTCTTTCGAAAGCCTATAGCTTTAATTTAAAGTTGTTCAGGGCGTATCTGATGTTGGGCGGACGATTCCCTTGTCATGACGCGTTGCCGAAAATCGCGTGCCCAGTTTTGATGTTGAACGGAGGACAAGACAAGTCAGTAATATCATCAATAAACTTAAAGTATTCAATCTATCGCCTATTTTCAGATTTTGCGAGGACCCCAAGTCAATCTTTCCAAAGATCAAGAACGTCAAGTATATTTTGGAAGATTTTGTCCATGAAAACCCGAATTTCAGACTCGAAACTCACCTCCAAGGTGGACACGATTTCCCGCAAAAATTCCCGAAATGGACGGCCGAGAAAATCACTGCTTTCGTTAAAGAAACCGCGAGGAAACAAGCATAATTTTGAGAAGAATTGATCTTTATTTATACGTGCACAAAGAATAAAACAACTCTAAAAGAACACTAAACAACAACAAAAAAATTCTAAATTCATCAACAGTAGAGTGAATTTGGGTGGTTGCAGCCAGAGATGTTCCAGCCGGACCTTAGGCCTGTAAGCCTAGTGGACAAGGCCTGTAAGCCTAGTGGACAAGGCCTGTAAGCCTAGTGGACAAGGCCTGTAAGCCTCATGGACAAGGCCTATAAGCCTAGTGGACAAGGCCTATAAGCCTAGTGGACAAGGCCTGTAAGCCTAGTCGACAAGGCCAGAACCTAGTCTTAAGCTTGCTTGACCTGGTCTGGCAAAACTTTACCAGGCCTGCAGTAAAGCCAAGAAAGCCAGCTTTTTGTTTGTACATGCCTGAGATTTCCTTTCTTGTTTGTCATAGTACTTTCAATGCAATTTCTAAGAACGAGAAGCTTGCGACACAAACAATTTCCAGCTCGCTTAAAGTCGAGTGCACTAAAGAACATGGGTTTATCAAAGCACAAAGTACGACTGAATGCTAGCAACTTCTCAGTTCATTGTGTCAAAACAGTGATGTTTCATGTTTCTGAAAAAGAGGAGACAATGAACGGTCACCCCATCACAAACACTGATAACAATGTGAAAGAGAGAGCGGGAAAGATGAAGAGAAATCAGGGATTCAGATGAGATTCACATGTCTGAAAAGTATAGACACAACCAGGAGAGAGGTTTGGAAAAGGAAACGGGTGATCCCACGATCGGAAATTTTTCTCCCGGACATCAATCTAACACCACACATTTTCGAAGTACTCAAGGAAATTCTATTTATTTTTTTCTGAAAGCAATGACCCATTCCGAGTACAGCGAGCACTTTGCCGAAATCGATGGGCAAAAAATTGGGTAAAAATTGTTGAATTTAAGCTTATTTTAAGCTTTATTGAGTTAAAATGAAAATTTCTATCCTTCAAAACCCTTTTTAGCTACTCAAAATACGGGCATGGAGCCACAAATATGTTAACGATTTGCGGTGGAGTAGGTGAGGAAGAAAAAATAGCTTATTGAGATACGTTTTCTAAATGGTGGATAATTCTGAAAGTTACCGTAATCTTTTTCTACTTAATTTTGATCCTATTCAACTCACAGCTTGATTCCCCATCAAATGAGAGCAAAGCAAATGAGAGCATTGAGTAGAACAGACAAAATCAAAAGGAAAGATTACTATATTTTTTCCAAATTATTCATCTTTTAGAAAAAAGAATTGCTCACGATAAACTACCGTAAATACTGTAATAGTACCCCACCCCCTCGTACAGTCGCGTAGTCGCAAAAGTTTTTTAGTATTTCATTTTTTTCAAAGTGCCCGTACTTTCAAAAAATGCGTCTTTTGTATCAAAAAATAGCTGAAATTCAGGGCTATTTTTTGATACCTAAGCGCGCATTGTAGCTTAAACCAGTGTCGAGAAAAACTCGTTCAAAGCTAGACTACGCAACACTCCGCACCGTCATTATGGGGGTGGGGTACTATTACAGTATTTACGGTATGAGCTCTTGAGATACTGTAATTTGAATAGCAAATGCTCTGTTTCACCGCAGTATCCAGGAGTCGATTTTATTAGCTTTTTATGAGCCTAAAAATATCCAGTTTAGTCTACAATATAACTGCTTACAGGTTGTTACGCGAAAGATTGGCCATTGTCGACATTAGAGCACTTTGATCCCGAGAAATACACGATTATCAGCATCGATCCACCTGGGTAAACGATTGAAATGAAACTTTAAGTTAAAGCTAAAAGAATTTTTTTTAGTTACGGCAAATCCCGTCCACCAGAGCGCGTGCAAAACGTTTTCCGCTGTCAAAAGGACGCGGTTATTTGCATGAAATTGATGGAGGTTTCAATTTTTTCAGTGCAACTTAAAGCCTTTTTTACACTGAACTGTGTAAAAAAGTTTCAAATGCAATTTCAAAATACTTGCTTTCATTCAGCAATTGGAACTCCTTCCATTCACAGCGGTCGGTTGGAGTGAAGGCTCGAGAACGGCACTTCATCTTGCAGCAAATGGAATTCAAAAGGTGCTCTTTATAAAGAGATCAAGTTAAAAGTTAATTCTTTCTAAAACAAAGATTCTTACCAAAAAAACCTTTTTCTAATCTCTAAATGTTTAGATAAACCGATGCGTAGCGATGGCTGCAACAACAAGAATCGAAAAGCGGGCGGTTGAAGTGACCAAGGGTGAGTTGAGGCCTGAAATTTATCATAACTATTGATGATGTAGCTAAAACCGTATTAAATGATTGTACAGCTATGCAGTCAATTAAAATCTGAATTCCAGGAATGAAAAATACTGACCTGTGGCTACCGGCAGATCGAGAGCCTTACCTGAAGCACTGCTCAAATGAGTTTTTCAAGAAACAATGGGCCGATATCATGGATACAGCCGAAGAGTGAGTTAACACAAAGAACCTAACCTAAAAGACCATAATCGATCAATAACCCAATACAGATGCTATAACATGCTTGGTGGTCGATTCCCGTGTGATGCTTCTCTTGCCGAGAATCACTTGTCCAGTGTTGCTTTTGAATGGAGGACAAGATTGGTGGAGATCTTTTCAAAGACCAATTCTTTACATGTCCATTTCAGGTTTCACGGAGACCAAAAGGAAATAATGTCTCGTATAAAGGACGTCAAGTGAGTTTGAATGCCGACTTTCATAAGTTTCAATTCTCCTTTCAGAATGGAGACACAATTACACGGAGGACACGATTTTCACCTCAAATACCCGAAATGGGTTGTTGATAAAATTGAGCGCTTTATTACCGAAACCAGTTGACTAATAGAATAAAGAAATTTCACGTTCACAGCAAACTCTATGAAACAGACCAATACTATCTGCACCATATGCATAAACAAATCCATCTTCACGCTTTCAAAAACTAAACTTTATTTGCACAGCACCAAAAAAAATAAAAATGCAACCCGTTTATTAAACCACATCATATTAACTAACATAATTTTACAATTGGGAATAAAAGGGGCAACTAAGAACATGAATCTTGTGCTAAAATGAATTAGGGGCCACTACAGTGCTTTACAATAATTACAATTGAATAAGGAGCGCAATAATAAAGCTTCAATAATGACTCCTTTCCGTCGCCAAAGATCCCAATTCGACTCAAAGAGTGGCTGGCTAAAGAAGACAACGATTAATTTAACAAAATAGAAGCTTGAGCTCTCAACTAAAGTAATCAAATGATCAACCAACCAAGGTTCCAAAGTTTTTCTCCAGATGCTCGGTCCAATGATTCATTTGTGGGTTTCGCTTTGTAGGCAAACCTAAATCTATCCGATTGAAGAATGAAAGTGAATATTTACATTCGCATCGTGGACCACAAAATGGATGAGCAAAGCCACAATCGCGTGCCTAAACAATGAATTAAGAACATAAATTGTACAAGAGCTTTTCACTTAGAATCAACCCACCTGGTGAGCACAAGTTGGATAGAAGCGGCAACTCTCGCGAGGATGCCAGAGTGTACATCCTGTTTCTTGCCGATGACGGCGATTTTCCCAGAAAACACATTGAGGCGCCGGCTTTCGGAATCGTTCTTGCTGTTTCCGCTGCCCATTTTGTTTGTTGCCTAAAAATTAACTGAACAAAAACAAAAAAAAATATATTTTACCGAAGGCGAAGTAATAATCCGAATTGTTCTGATTCTCTCGATCACATCCCATATCTTTGCCAGTGACGCTTTCTTGAATGCCAGTCTCGCAATAGGTGCCTAAAAAAGTCCAAATTTCGGACTAAAAAATAGACTTCGCTTAACGTGAGACCGAGACCGAGACTTATCATTTTTTCCAAGGTATCGGCAACATCAAAGCAAAATTTTGTTTTAGCTTCTCGACCGAGATATTATGCTATTTTTCGGTGAATTTTCAATAAAAAGCAACATTTTCCTTTTGATCTCCCTGACACAGCTAGTTACAGCCCCATCGCCAACATCACCTAGAGCTAGTGATTTCCCCAACGCGAGCGAACTCCTCATTGTGCTGCTCGCGCCCGCCTTTCCCCAGTCCAAAACAGTGTTTAAGAACTCAAAAATCACAAGTCTCGGTCTCCTTAACCTCATTAAATCTCGTTAAGGTCTCGTCAGGCCAAGTCTACCATAAAGCACCTACCATTAGGAGTAACATTGGAGTTTAACTCTTGGCATTGTTGCGGGTAATTGTGTTGCAGAGAAGGAGGTTGAGTGCGACGAATGAAATTCTCCTCTGCCTAAAAACATTTTTGATGTAGACTAATCGTCAATGCTTCAAAATGCAGTCATAAGTCATGCCTGTTTCCAAGGATTTCCTCCAAATGAATTCATCCATCTATTGGCGCCTTCTTGTTTGTTTTCCGATTTGCAAAAGCCTCCTTTGCTTAAAGCAACTTGATTCATCTAAAAAGAAATTAACAAGTGATATTTAATAACTGGATACCCCGGGGCAAATCTTTTCATCGGCGTTGAATCCTCCAAAGCTTTCACTCTTCGGCAGTTTGCAGTTTGATTGTTGCAGTTGTTGTTGGACATGGTCTCGTTCTCTCAATCGTGTAGCCCCAATGGCAAAAGGATCCTGGTTGGAAAAGAGTTGCAACAGGAAGATTGAAGGGATTCATTTTGGACATCATTGTTGGCATGGAATATGTTCGAGCATGTAGATGATCCTTCTCAAGCCCAACCATAGTCTTCGAAGAGCACACCATCGTTGCCGATTGTTGTGGTTCGGGTGGTGGAGAATCATCAAGATGAGTCAAGCCTTGTACCAAATCGCTCGGATTCATCAATGATTGCTTAGCCTTTTGTGCATCTTAATGAAATGGTAGCAAACGGTTTACAAATTGCAGTACCGTGCGCAGGCTCACGAGTTGAAGATTTCTGCATGCACTGAGGTGCGGGCTCTGGTCCGTAAGTTGGAGTAAACTAAATCAAAAATAGTTTTAAAGCACTATTTAAATAACACCTGAATACTCTTATTGTGAGTTATTCCGTTTGAATAATGAGAAAGACTCGTCATCAGCTGCGGATCTCCGGATAAGTGTTGAGCATTGTCATCAAAGATCACCAGTTGAACAACATCTTTTGAAGGGGTCAAACCAACGACGCATTTGCTAAAAATGGTTTTTCTCATTAGTGAAGGAGTGTTAAAAATTACAAGGAATTTGGTGGAAACGGAAGAATATCAGCTGGACAAAGGCCCGTTGTAGCACAAACGCGTTCAATCAACGATTCCAACCTAAAAAGAATCGTAACCTCAGACAAAACAAAATTATTCCATAATTTTGTTCTTCCTCCCAATTAACAAAGCATCCACCTTTTCTGCATATAATCCTGATTCTCCGCCTCAATCACAATGACCGCTTCACCGGAACGCGAGTTAAAGTAGACACATTGCTGGTCCTTTGACAACAAGCTATTAAACTTATCCTGAGGAATGGATGGAATCTAAAGGGGAGAACCAACAATAAGCCTGTTAATTAAATTCTAACCTGCAAAAGAAAGCAGCGAGCCTCATACGGATTTGGTGCCTAAATAGAAATATGTAAGTAGACTAAAATGAGCTCACAACAATGGAAAAATCGACAAGTTCATCCATTTGGAGGCACTCCTTGGCCGAATCCAAGAACGTGTAGTCCAAAGTGTTTGGACAAATAATCAAGGTTCTCCATCCAATTGTTGACAACGAACTCAGTGTAGATGTGTAGTTTCCAGAATCTAAACAATCAGAATCATGTTCCATTTGCTTATCACAATAAGTTCGAAGATGGTAAAAGAATCGTACCTGAGATCAGCACAACGAGGCCAGGCTTTTCGAACAGTGAGGTGTGTCGCTTCATCTCCGTGCAAATTCGATCGACGATCTTCGACGGCGAAGCATGGTAAATTGTAAAGTTCTAAAACAAAGTAGTCTTAGAATAAATATCTAGAACCTACCGGATATTCTTGCTCCACAACGTTGATCACTGAGGTGTCCGTGCATCGAACGTCACACATTAAGGACACTTGCATGCTTCTTGATATCTTTTCTTCCATCTAAAGCAAAAAGTGAACAAACAGCTGGCCGAGTTACGGCCAAACCTTTGCAATAAAGACAGTCATTTGTTCCCCCGAAATTGGTGCCGATGTGTAGTTCCAGTAAGCAAGCACGGGAAGTTCATCTTTCAACGAATTCAACTAAACAGAAAAATAAGTATTACAAGACAGGACAACTTGATAAATGTCAAGCAAGTAAAAAAAATATGAAATGAACGTACCTGTGAAATATGACGTCCGGACGTCATCGCAGCAAAATTAAGAGTGATGTGACTCCGAAAAGTTTGTAGGGATTTTGACGTGATTTGTATGCAAATTTGAAAAATGCTAATAAAGACAATGTCGCCAAATAGCTTTTTGTTTGAATATCTTTAATTTTTATGCTCTTATAAAAGGATATCAACCAGCTTTCCAAGAGAGTCGCCATATTTTGCGCAGTTCCGTGTTTTTCTTTCTCAGACTTCTTTTTATTTTAATGCACTTGGATGCTCTTGCATTGATTTAGAGATTCTACAACCAATTCTGACCCTTTTCAGCTTTGGAAATCATCATTGCGCACTTGTCATCGTTGTATCTGATGCGGAAGCTTGCTCCCTACTTCTCTACAACTTCACTTTTTGGTAAGCTTTGTTCGTTTTCATTGATGAAAAGTTTAACGGTGCTATAGTTTGCTATAGTTTGGAAGGGGACAGTTTGCAAACACCGGTTTTTTTCAAACTCCACTTTTTTAAAGACTTTTTCCGGGGTAATCACTTGCGCTGAATCTATTGGAAACATTTTAAAACCATTATGAACAACTTTTATGGTAGTTTGAGAAGCATTTCCGAGCCTTCGGGTGGGGCTCTATTTCCACTGGGTTTAAAGGGATCGAATTAAGGGGCTTAAAACCTCAGTAAATGCTTGAAATAGCTAGAAAACAGTTGCTAAAGCTTAAATAGTTACCAAATTAAGAATCTACCCCATTAAAAGCCCTAGGAGTGCAAAAATTAGTTCTCTAGCTCAATAGATATGAATGGCCTCTCGAACTACTATAGCACCAATTCAAAATTCAAAATTAATACGTATTTTAGGTGTTTCGGCAATCGATGCTTACACGGCCATCTACACTCCACTGGTGATTCTGCTAGCGTTCATTTCGTTGCTCGCAATTCAATTTTTTGGCACCCCAATAAGCTGTGCGACATATAATTCAACGCAAGGTTACATGTTTTATCATGAAGTAACTTGTTAGACTTTTAGATCTTGTCGACAAGCACAATTTGGTAATCGAGTTTTGTAGTCGTGATGCTGCCCAATTCGTTGATACTGAGAGAAACTTACCAACAGTTGGCGATTATCAGGTTTACTATTTATTTATTTAAATAATTTTTATTGATTTAGTGGATTCCTTTAATCTTGCTACTGTTCTTCGTGTGCTTTTTGTTGCCACATTTTGTTTGGTTGATGAGCCGAACTTTAAGTTAGTTTTTATGTTCTATTACGTGTCACACGGTAGATTTTAGTTTTTCCATTTTCGTCTGCAATGCATATATTGATGGCTGCCCGAGGGTTGCCACGAGAAAAAACTAATCACTTGATGGTAGAAAATTTACAACAACTGCTACGAATGAGAAACGATTTTCGCATAAAAGACAAGGTATTCTTAAAATGAAAATCCATTTTATATTTGTTGAAGGGAACCAAATTTTTTTTTAGATGACAGCTCCCATCTCAAGCCTCTATATCGTTTTCAAGCTCTTAGTTTTGGTATGTATGACTGTTGCACATCTGTTTGTGATTGGCGCCCTTGCAATGGATCCCTCACAGGTCAGTGTTTACTTATGTAAGGTTATAACCAGAAATCATTTAGCTCATGAATTCGGATCGACACACTACTGGATTAGGAATTTTTGCCAAGCTTGCGACGTGTTATTTTCCTTATGAGGTACTACAATTCGAGCTTTATGACATTTTCTTTAGAAGAGCGGAACACGTTACTCCTGCGTCTTAAAGTTCAACACCATTTGCGAAAAAGTGTTTATCATCTTATTCTTTTGGCTCACAACAGTTTTTTAAATAGAAAGTACAAAAATATTTCATGCCTAGATGCAAATATTGGGCATCCTCAGTATAATATATTGGATTTTCATGCTTTCAAATTCACATCGACGGGAAGCAGATATGGGTGAATGGTTCAAAGTAAGTACAAAGTATTTTGATTTGCGTATACACATATTTGCAGTTGGGAGAACCATCAGTTTGTCAATTCTCTAATCAAAAGCGGTATGACCGCTTCATTAAAGTAAGTTATTACCAATTCTTTTAACTCTTTTAACTTTTAACTTTTAACTTTTAACGAAGATTAACTCTTTTCTTTTTAGCTTTTGGGTAGTGATACTTGGTTATTGCTCACGCTTGCAAGCCAACGCGGCGGAGTATTTGTGGCAGCTCAAGCGATTTCTGTACTTTGGAAAAGGTTTTGATGATGTATTTATTTTTTCAAAAAAGTTTAGTTTTGTCAAAATGGAGAATGAGTCGCGATACGGTTTTGGAGCTCAAGAGAGATCTACTACAAGTCTTTGGTCGCGACAAGGTAAGCTTTGTTATCTAAATTTTTTTTCGAGTGTAATTATTTTTAGAAGAGCTTCCAATTGTAACCGGTGTGCTTGCTGATGCAATTAGGGATAGTGATAGCGTACAATCAACAATAAGCCACTCAACGATCAGCCAGTATGACACCGCGAGTCTTCCGTAAACATTGGTTTTCGCAGATTATCAACAAAACAAATCCGATTTGTCTTTGTGTCTTTTTGGTTTTGAATATATTGGCTTTTTCTAATGATTATTGTTTTTGTTTCGTTATGTTGTTATATAGTTTGTTTGTCAATTTGCACATTCTAGTTAGTTTGGACCTGTTTAATAAATCGATTCACGGTCGGATCTTGTGCGATTGAAACGTTGTTTAACTCGTATTAGATCTATTTATTGGCAGAGATATTAGTTGCAATGAATTTTTAATTTTATGCTGATGATTTGTAGGTTTTGCTCCAAGATGCCGGCCCCATCGAAGCCTCTGATACTTCTAATTCTACTCACTCTCATGTTCTCCTATAGCCAGGTTCATTTATTTTACCTATGTTACCTATATAACGTAATGTTTTTTGACAATCCATATCCACGTCAATCTTGCAGACTCGGAAAATGCAACAAACCTGACAACAGGCAAGCTCAGCTTTTTAAAACGATATTTTTATTGTTACAGAAATCCAGCAGGAGATCCTTAAACAAGTCAATGGAGAATTGAAAATCGCATGGACAAACGAATCGATGGAATTGCCGTTAGCGCATGTATATCATTGTCATCTCATGAGACGAGTAAGCTACTGCTGGCTACTAAATATTACTACTAGTTGGTAAGCTACTAGATGTGCAAAAATTTCCTATTTTAGGCCCAAGTACGACTACCCGATTTACTGATACATATACCGTATGGAATGATTGGCGAGGTAGAGGGTTTTGTTTCAGTTGTAAATGTAATCAATTTTAGAACGAGTTCTGCAACCCTGTGATTTACGGAGACATGCAGCTCACAGCACAAGTATTTTGGAGCTCATAAAATAAGATTCACAAGGTTCATTTTAGATCAACTATGCCCAAAATTCGACAGAAAATTTATACGCAGTTGAGGTGAATTCACGATGTGGACGGGCTTATTATGAGGCGGTTTGTAATTTTTTTATAACGATCATGTTTGCTTTTTTTCTTTAGCAGAAGCTCGATGCCATTGCCGACCTCCTTTATCGAATGATTTTATTGGTCGAGAATTGTCGAGAAACGGCGTTAGTTTATGAATAGTTTTTAAACCTAATTTTTACAGCTATCAGCTTACACCTTTTGAGACAATTGGTACTGAAAAAATACAGATTGGACAAAGAAAAATCCTCATCAAAGCCGATCGGAAACTCTCTTCATTCGTGAGTGCCTAGCTTGTGCTAAAGTTGTAACTCCAAATTTTAGCCTCCAAATGAGTGGCTGGTATACGTTCTTCAGCTTTTCATTTCTGCTTTCAATATTGTTCAAGTTGCGGTACTCAATATGGACCTTGTAAGTATATTTTCACATAGCTTATAAACCAATTATTGTAGCTAGACGAATGGAGCAACGCAGGGTTTAGACGGATTAATTTGCAAAACATGGTGAGCTTTTAGCAAAAACTAAAATTTTTTATTGGCCATCCACATTTTAAAATGAATCTTGTTGTTTTGTTTAGGAGGAATCACTTAGTCAAGCATCGTCATCGAGCAGCGATTTGGAGCAGGAATCGATAAACAAAAAGAAAGCCGAAAAGCCGTCCATCCAACGATAAAAAATTGGTAAATCAAAAATTTACGAAGACTTGTTGTGATTATCGATAACTTTTCTGAAACATAGACTGTTATTCCATTTACCTTTTAATAAATATTAAAATATTTATTTTGCAAAATAAATGTGAGAGAGATTTAGTAGTACTTCCCGTTTGTTATAGAAATGCAACCAGGATAAGAAACAGTTCAAAATATTAACGCATTTTTTTGAAATAATCGAGATCCTTTAAGTCGAGGAAATATGTTTTCTGAATGCCTTTGCCCTGAAAATGATGTTTGTAAGTTCTGTTTTGAGTCTTGGGAGCAATACCTCCATTTCGATCTCGTGACGATATGTTGTGACAAGTTCCAGAGAGTCTGCCATCAGAAGATCCTTGTCTGCCTGAATTTCAAGAATTTGTTACAAAATGATCACTTTGCCAAGGAAGTCCATAGCTTTTGGGCAATACCTGGCACATGAGGGTATTAGAATTTTCTCCGGTTCTCCGGTGCTTTCCATCCGAGAAACCAGGGGTAATCACTCAAAAATTATACCCTAGAGTAGTGACAGTGTAAATGTCATTATCAAAACAGTTCCGAAACCATACCGTAATCCTCAAATAGAGAATATCTTGCGCAGTAATAGTAACAACATGCCGCCGCGACAGGCCCTGTGTGAAAGCCGAGTCAGGTGCAGCGAAGACGCTGAGTCTTACGGTGGGGAATCCCGAATTCTTCTAGGTACTAAATTGAAAAAACAATTGTTTTTCATCTTGAATCCTCGAACTTTCGTGATCTCCAGCTAGATAACGGCAATGTGCGCACATAGTGTTTCCCGCTTTCTTTCGGGAAATCCAGAAACCACCATGTAGGCTTCACTGATTATTTCCAATTTAAATATTCGTTGAGTTCCTTACATTCTCTTCTTCCACCTTGTAGGCTTCATGCTTGTTAATTACTTGAACCAAAGCCTGAATAAACCGAATTCAACATGGTGACCACTTCAAGTGGCGTTGATGAAGAGCAGAGCTGTAAAACCGACCTGTCAAAGGTGGAAAATCGGATAAGTGAACCAGAAAAAACATATTGGAGTTACCAACATCAGAGAAAAAGAATAATCGCTGCTTGGTACATTTTTGGTCGAACGGTTCCACCCGCTTCAACCACTGGCCACGTCCATCTGTTAGAATGACAGAAAATATTTAACCTGATTTATCTACAGTACTATAGATGTAGAGATTGAAGCCGAGATAGGCCTTTTTGGATTCGCCTCCTATTTCCTATTATTTTCCCTATTCACAGATTCCCCCACTTTGGCAAGTGCCCAGAGAGAAGACTATCTGGCCTTTTGATCTGCTTCTTCTAACATTCCAGTTCTCTGGTGATCAATTTCTCCAAATTATTCACGTATTCTTCCATCATTCTCATCATTGAGTCAACGAGAGAGCCTCTTCTGGAAACAATTTTTACATTTAAACCATTTTATCATCATTTTATCATCATTTTATCGATCAACGATCTCACGTTCTTAAGCAGGATTCAGTGGAGAGACGGATATTCGACGAACTGTTGGACGAACCCAAAGTCTGTCGCTCCAACAATCCTAAAGAAAAGTGTAGTTGCTGAAGAATAGTACAATTACAATTACACAATACAATTACATTTTTTCAGCTGAAGAGAATCAAACTTCCAAACCTGCAGCAAAGCCAGTAAATCCTAATGAATCTATACTCCTAGACCTGAACGGACGGGCGAACTATTTAGCCTCCTGTTGAGGCTTTTATGGCCAACTCTGGAATTTCTCATTTTTTTGGCTGTGCTTTTTGTAAAAACCATCCAAATAGAGTTTCTCGCTATAGGGGGAAATTTCTAGAAAAGAATCTCGCAAATGAACGATTCCGAAAGAGTAGATGCCAGCGGCACGGCGGCGCTCAAACGTTTGCTCGAGCTACTTCTAGAAAGAATAAGCGCATTTTTTTTCTAGAGTCATCGAATTCCTAATCTGCAAAAACTGCTCTCACTTGATCCATTCGACGTTTTTTATTCTAGAGTATTACTCATCCACATATCCATCGCAACATAGAGAACGCCTGAAGTTACAAACAATAAAATCTGGGCACAAAAATCTAAAGCCATTTGCACCAAACTTATCTCTACTTAATGAGAGCTATTAGGAAGGTGAAATGAAAACTGGACTTAGAACTTAAAATTTATTCCACATAAAACCATTTCCATTCAACATACCCATTCCAAATAATTCCATTATTATTGACGACATCTGCCCATTATAAAGGCAATTTGCGGATTCCTCTCTAGTAGAGTTTTGGTTTTGAATCGAAAAACTTCAAAGCTAACTTTTGACTGCTTCTTCCGAATCGAAGCGTGCTCCGGCAATGCGCATTACTCAGGATCCGTAATCAATAATAATCAGTAGGGGCGATGGGTCCGGACCGTATGGGGAATGCGTCAAAAGTTCCCAAACAAGTGCCATTTATAATAATTCCCATTATTATTGAGGACTTCCCTCGCCCATTTTACAGGCAATTTGCAGATTCCTCTTTCGTAGTAGGATTTTGGTTTGTGTGTGAGACAAGTGTGAGGACCTAAAATGGATGAGATAGTCCCAGCTTGAGCACTTTCTTCAAAAGAAACCCATTTTGGTGTCAATAGAAACGTTGTAGAGAATTCAAAAATTAGCATATAGCCAAATATCCAAAAAGATACACTTAGAAGTTTCGCTTAAAATGCAAGTTTTGTGGGAAGATTCAAATTTGGCAGTTCTTGAAAACCAGTTTTTGAATCGTCTCTGAAAATTTGGATATAAGCTTTCGATTTTTGATCTCTACAACTTTTCCATTCACACCAAAATGGGTTTCTTTGAAGAAAGTGCTCAAACTGTCACATATGGACAATAGTCCTACAGCTTTCAATCTCACCAACCCAATATTTTTTTTTGTCTACCTAAGCAAGCGTTTAATGCAGCAAGCGTTTAATGCTTTTCCCTCCCAATCTTACGAACCCATTTTCTGCCAAGCTCCACTCTTCTCCCTCCCTCCATCTTCAGCGATCTGAAGCTGAATTGATCCGTGCTTTTCCCAGCGGCTGATCGCATCGGAAATACCTGAATATCTTTAAGTATCATCCATTGACCATCTAAACTACCGTAGTCGGTCAATTTGACAAGCCAATTTCTGTCAATGAGTGTCGACCACGAAGTCAACGATCCGTGAAAACCAATGTTTGACGTGTGCAAGTATTCAAGACCCTAAATTAGAGTAAAAGCCTCAAATTGTAAGCTTTGTAGTGTAATGTAGTGTTTATTATAAGCACTTTGTGACTTTAAAAAGTATAGCTTACAATATATTCAGGTAATTGTAGTGACTCACCAGGCAAATATCCCTGACGAAAGCGCCGTGGAATTTCCCGTCAAGAGTGAAAGTTTCGTTATAGATGAGATCCTGAAAATTTGAAAAGCTTTCAAGAGTATTGACCACTCATTACAATCAATTTGTATCCAGTAAATAGAATAATTCTACCTGCAACGTTCCTCGACTGCAGAATTTCCACATCAACAACAACTCATTTTTCTCGTTGAAAGACATCCCGAGGAATGGGTTCAAATTGTCGTGCACGGCTTGTTTCATCTGAAAAAATGTTGATTCATTGATTGATTCATTGATTGATTCAGACTTATAAAGAGAGTGTCGAATAATGTGTTTTCTAAAAAGCACCGACGGTAGTTGGTTATTGAACAGTAGTGGTGGTATTACAGTATAGGGGAAGTTTTTAAGGAAGCAAAAGGTTTGGAAAGAGCTTTGACCTGAACTTGGGGAGACTTGGGGGTAATAGGGCTCGTCAGTCCAGAAGCTATCATCATGCCACTAGATCACGGAAACATTTGGGAAGGAAGCGTGGGACAGCTTCTTAACGTGTCTGAGATTTAGATATCTGTAAAAACTAAAAACGGGTTCAAGATCCCATGGCCGACTCTATAAAATTTGTTTTGAAGTCAAAAGGTCAGCTTGATCAGATGCCTTTTAGAAAACAGTTTAGCGGAACTCTTACTCTCATCAACAAAACGAGATCCTGTCTCGCGAATTTGATCGGTCGATTCTGCTCATAGAGATGATAAGTGGCATGGGTGTTGACTAAAATAAGAAATAAGACTAAAATAAGACTAGCACTGATACTTGTTTGCTATTCAACTCATTTACCTCCAATAATCGCATGATGTTTGACCATACTGTTGCCCATATTCGAGAGTTTCGTTCGCTGCGAGCTCAACGATAGCTGAAAAGCTTTTAAGTCCATTAAATGCCAATAATTATCTTTCAAAAACAATGTTTTTGATTTTCAACTCACCATTGATTTCACTTCATCCTCGTTCACGATTCGCATATCGTCACGGAAAATTCGCCACGGCATGTTGTTCAATGAGCGACTTTCACTGAAAATCAAATGCTAATTTGTTTGATTTTCTGTTTGACTCAAAATGTTTTTTAGCAGCTTTATGATCCAAATTACCAATGTCTTTTGAGGAAAATTGCGGAGATGATAGCTGTGATGATGGCCAAGACAACGGCAGCGCCGATGATGATCAGAGTATGGTCACATCTGGGAAAATTCTTCATTTAGAGCTATTAGGTTGGTGCATAAGGAAATATATAATATATATATAGATACTTTATTCAGGACCTGAGATAAAGTGCGCTAGATTAAGATTAAAACACATGAATTCATACACATAACACGAAAAGGGCCGATAAAAAGAAACACGTGTATAATATATGTAAAATGTGGGTAGCACAGATAACGTCAAGGATCCACTAGAGCTTCAAGATCAAGATCATCTACAGATAATTTAAAGGTTTCGAGACTATTGGACTCTCTCAAAACTCTGGGGAGTCGATTCCAAATTCTGACAGTTCTTATTGGAAAAGAGTTATAAACAAACTTATTGGAGGTGACTGGAATTTCTCAAACAAGTTCCAGTAATTGTAATGTAGAGATTCTAATTATT